CTTAGAAGTGTCAGACATGGCTCATTTATCCCTCCTTAGAAGCCATTCCACGCAGAGAAGAAACCAGCAGGTACACCAACATGACACCCAATGAAAAGTTCCAAGTACCTTGAATTTGTTTTTACATTTCGTATTCTCACGGGGTACCTAATACAACCAAGGTGAAGACAAGGGGATACATTAACCTACCAGATCACTGAAATAATATTGCAGAATGAATGGAGAGCACTGAAACAGCTCCTTGAAGTTAGCACGATGATTGCTGCTAATGGGCTAGAAGAAAAACAAAACTGGTGCGAACTGAAGACAGAACACCTCCACCCAGTACCCTGCAGTCACGTTCTACTCCCTCTGGGTTATTTTAAGAAACAGCAAAAGGAGAATAGCAGATCTCCCTTTCATTTAATTATAGAATCCACCCTTCAATTAAACCACCTTCTTCATCTCATTGCCAGATGGGCACATTTTCCAATGTGATAAATGGCTCTACTTCCTTCAGACACTGACATTCCTTAGTATTCCGTTTCTGCCTTTTACCCTGTCCCAAGGAAATTTCACACAACCGTGTAGCTTCAGAATCCAGATGCCAAAGATTTCCAAACCCTTCCAGCACAGATCAGTACTGCTGGAGTGCTAAGTCCCCTGAACCCTGGAGGTACCATGTGACTTGACCAAAGTGACTTCATTATCTCTCTGCCCAACCGAGTGCACCTGTATTTTACTTGGTGGCAACTCCATTCATCCACCCAAGCAGTCCAGCTGGAATCCTGGATCCTTCACTCCTCCTATTCAGCTGGTCACCAAATCCTATCACCTTTAAGTGACTCTTAACGTTTGTCTCCTGTTTTCTAACGCACTACTGCTACCTTACATTATTTCTACCTGCAGTTCCTTTACATCTCCCCTGTGGTTCTCCCAGCCTCCACTCTGTGTTCTATGCATCTCCCCATCCAGGACATACTACTCTCAACATCGTAAGTGTTGCTTATTTATATGTGTCTTCAAATAGCTCCTGATTTCTTCCAATGCAAACATGGTATATTATCTCTTTTTATTTTCTGCAATTATATAATACCCTGCATGGAGTATACATTCAATTAACATTTAGTAAATGGCAGGATAATTCTCAAACCAGCAGATCCCAAGATCTCAGACATTTCAGGAGGTGAGATGGGTTCACAAAATTCCTGCTCACCCACCCTGTCTGATCATATTACAGCTAACTAACTATCTGACTACTATGGCTAACTAGAAAGTTGTAGAGACTAAATGTTGATTTAAGCATGTGCTATACGTAATCTCTAATTCCTCCACAGGAATATTTTCCCATTTTCTACGTGTTTACCTTTCAAATAAAATGTTCAGTGTCCTCTTTACTCCTTCTTTCAAGACCTATTTTAAACAAAAAGCATTCATCCTTGTTTTTTATTGCTACAAAGCTTCATATTTTAGTCCTTTCATTCTAACTGCAAAACACAATCACTGCCCCACTCAAGAAATAAGGCTCTGTCTACACAGTGTATGTGTGAAGGACAGCAGTGGAGGAGGATTCCAGGGAGAATTCCCAGTCAGCATGTGAAGATACTCCCATGCACTCTGCCAGCTCTTGACTCAAAGCCAAGCTTGTTTTGGTGTGTGATCCTCACCCAAAGGCCTTTGTCCCAGGACACAAGCTCACTCCCTAGCTAGGCATCACAACTCTGCTTCAGATGTCACAGGAAGAAAAGGAAACTGTTGTCGGAGGGTTGGGCTGCAGTCAGCACTGTGCAGATTAGAAGGAAAACAGCCTTCATCAGAGAGCAGACTACAAGTTCTTCTGAAAAACCATCCTAACTGACTTACAAAGTAGAGGTCCTAAGGAACTCTAGAGTCCTGATCTTATTGGGATGGAGGGAAAAGTCTGCATAGAGGAGGAAGCACAACCAAAATGGCAGCATATAAGTTCAGAATAAGTATGAAAAGTGGCCCTGGCCTGCATTTTTTGCTCAATTTTTCTGTAAGCCTGTCTGAAAATGAGTCTTTTAACTAAAATGAAGGAAGGGGGTGCGGTGGGAAAGAAGGGGAAGGAAGGAAGACAGGCAGGCAGGAAGCAAATGTGGGGGAGGGCTGGCCAGTGAGAAATTTCTGTCATTGCAGATGATCTGAAAATATTAAAGCAGTTGTTGTCTATTCCATGCTAGTCCATGCTATACTCTCCCTGCAGTACTCCAGATATTCAGCAAAGTTTGCTGAAAACAGATGCCAGGTGTTAGTGGTACTTTGGGAAATGAAGGAAGGGAACGATGGCCAGTGTGGGATGAAATAATGAAAAAGGCTTAGCACTCACAAGGGAAGACCAAAAATTTAATACCAGCAAGAATGGAGAGGAGACCACAAGAATGCAAACCTCACTGACACTGTGCTATCCAATATGGTAGCCACTATGTGGTTATGAGCACTTGAAATGTGACTAGCTCAAATCAAGATGTGTTAAGTATGAAAAAAGTCAAATACCTCAATATTTTATACTAATTACATATTGAAATGATAATGTTGTAGATATATGGGGTTAAATAAGATACATTCTGAAAATTAATTGTACTTGTTCTTCTCATTTTTAATATAGCTATTAAAATATTTGGAATTACACACATAGTTTTGCCTCATATTCCCTTTGGGCAATGCTAGTCTAGAATTTTTGGGAAAGTCATGGCTTTTCTATTGTAAAAGCCATAGGGAACTTAAAACTGTTCTGTTTGGGTATTAAAGAAAAGGGTGACCCTAGGAAGATGGGACGCAAGATGGTAGATAATGGCAGATTACGGGAGAGAAAATACAAATTTACAAGAACAGATGACTTGTTCATTTTAGCAACATTTCGTTAATCAAAAATTATTCCTAGGGCTGGGGATTTAGCTCAGTGGTTTCGCTGCCTGCTGCACAAGCACAAGGACCCGAGTTCGATCTCCGGTACCAAAAAAAGAAAAAAAAAAAAAGAAAAAAATTATTCCTATAAATAGTAGGTGCTCTTGAGCAAAAATTCAACTTTTCAGGAATGCATGTATAGTGTGGAGCAACTTTTCATCATAAATAAGTTACATTTGGTCCTCAGTTTTAAACTAGAAGAGAAAAAACCCAAACAAGAAAGCATCCACCCCATGTGACATGCATGTGTATGTATTCTAACACCTAGATGTGTTGAACAGAAACTTCCAAGACCTGAGTAATTTCACTAGAAATATCAAATACATATAAGGACCACAGTCATTTATGGGCTGTATTTATTTCCTACCAAATCTACCCCTCGAGCCATGTCTCACAAAATTTATGAGAAAAAAGTAAAACAAAATGTAATGCTGATGCCAAGTTAGCTATACTGTATGCAACCAGAAAACATGCTACCCACCCCAGTACCTCTGGGTTCTACAGTACACACACATCTGGTTATCTGTATACAGAATCTGCAGACTTCAGGGCTGGAGTGATTTAAACGTCATCTGGTCTACTCTCTGTACTTTGGATAAGGACACTGAGCCACAGAGACACAAGAAACTTGCTCAGGTTGCAGAGTTGCTGACTAACAGCAGCAGGACTCAAGCCCCGTGGTGAGGCAGCAGCCTTGCCATCCTGGAGTCACGCTGATGTTTTCTGATCGACCTTAGACTTCCCGAAAACCTTGGTTTGATTATCATACTTATTCAGAGAGGAATTCAGGAGGATTAAATATAACCTTTATATGACATGTATATTACATCATTTGGTTTTAATACATTTTATTGCATGTATTTAAGGTATATGGTAAGGTGCATATATAGTAAAGGAGTTGCTATACTGGCACAAATTAGCATCTCCATCAGCTCACACGGCTACCCATTCCACCACCCCCAGCGGCCAGGGCAGCTCTGTCTACTCATTTAGCAAAACACCTGGTTATAATACCCTAACCATCCTCACACAATGAGCAGTGAGCTCCTCCCCTTCCCTCTCCTTCTCCTTTTCACCCAAGATTCTGATGCTGACCCTGTTTCTTTCTGGAAAAGTTACTCATTGAAAAGTTACCGTACTCACTGAAGCAAATAGCCATGGACTCTGGAAAAGCTCCCCTTCTGTTTGTTTTTTTTTAATCTTTGAGGGTCAGTAGGTAGCCTGGGGTCTATCAACTTGAGAGCCTCCCCAGCCATGGATGGATAGCTTGGGAGGGCAGTGCCTAAGATGCTCAAAACAAAGCCCAGTTTCCAGAGATGGGCGATGACCATGCATATGGTGCAGAGTAAAGCTACAAACAAGCTCAGGGTCTTGCCCTCCCTTCCATCTCTCCTTATTTTACTTATCTGCATCCTGAGCTACCCAGACATGCCCTCAGCTCAAGTAACCTGCTTCTGCAATAAACACACAAACCACTTTCTTTTCCCCTTTTCCCAAGTCAGCCATGCCCTGGCTCTGGAATAACAGGTCAGCATATTTCATACCGAGATGCTGCCCTTTGTGAACTCACAACAGGAGCTTGTTAATGGAAATTAACTTCAAATTGATAGCTTTTTGGATGGGAGATGTTTTTCTGCCTGGAGGCCTTCCAAGTGTTCTCGTTTAAGTAGGAACTTCTCAATACACATGCACAGGCACACACACACACACTCAGAAAAGACAATGACTTAGCATCCAATCTTACAAGTTTTTCAGTCCTCCTTTAATGAACAGATGCTGGAACAAGGTTACTTTGCAGTAGGAATCTTTCACTTCAGAGGGAAATGAATAGAAAGTACAAAACACAAAACTGGATCTTCATTGTCCTTCTATGGAGTTAGTCACTCCACCCAGGATCGGGGACCTCAGTGAGCACCCACAGACCTGGGAACTACCAGTCTTGAGGGACCCTGTCTCCCCCCAAGAGTCTCATCAAACTGCAAACCAAGATGTAAGTGACTCCTCAGGGCTTGTGAAAGCAATCATGCCATCATCCAGGGCCTGGCAAGGCACTGCCTGTGATGTGCTACTAAGCAGGGACGTTGGAGGCACTGTACCTTTGCAGGTGAAACATTTGATGTGGAAGTGTTTGGTCTGGACCCGAAGCACTTCTCCTTTGCATGGCTCCCCACATTTATGGCAGTGAATGACAGGCCTCTCTGATGGATGGTGGGGGTCCTGAGGGTGGGCCACTGGAAAAAAACACAAGATCCAGGTTAGGTGGGAGCATTCCTGCAAAGGGGTCCCCACGGGGTGCATAGCTATCCTTATCATTTGGAATCAATGAGTCACATATTGATTCAATAAGCATGAGCTGAGCATGAGCCCTGCCCCATGCCCTGAGCATCCGATCCACAGATAAGGAAGACAGCAGCGGCCACTGGGGACAGTAGCGTGGCCACTGGGGACAGTAGTGTGGCCACTGGGGACACACTGGGCTGGTTCAGCTGTGGAGCCCGCTGTGCTCTGCCCTTTCCCCAGTCCTCTAGGACTTCAAACTGGGCCATTAAATACACAATCTTGTTTGTTTCAACATTCTTAAATGTGCATTTGTAATGTCTTTTTCTTGAGCAAGGATGTTTTAGCTGGAATTTGCTGTAGATTATAAGTTCCTTGAGAGGGAGGACTATTTCTTTGGTCCATTTCTTCCCACTTGGACCTCTCTTTCCTCCCCAGCTCCTATGACATAGCAGATGCCCCTGCACCAAAGAAATGCAGAAGACATTCATTTACTTTTTAATTAGTATGTTGTTGGACACTTTCCGGTCAACTTCACTAGAGAGCATTTCCTTCTCCTAATTTGGCAACTTGGCCTGTAGGAAGCCAACTATGAGACTCCTATGATGTGCCCAGCTCCTGATACACTGCAGGCAAGAATTAAATAATGCTGGATGCACCTTGAGACAAAAATGCTAAGTGAAATAAATCAGACAAGCTTAAATATGGCGTGGTTTTTCTCATATGAGAAACTCAGAGCATAAATAATTTAAAGAGAAAAATAAAAGATAATCGGAAATAGGGAACTAGATCTTTTGCAAATAGGAAGAAGACTAAGAGTTGGAGGGAAGGAGAGGAGGGAGGAGGGGAAGTAAAAAGAACCAAAATGTGTTATGCACATCTATCAACTCCCACAGCAAATGTAACCATTATGTATCACGAAAACACTAACCTTGGAACCACATGAATCCCTCTGAGCCTGTTTGCTTTCTGATTAGGGAAAGGGGGTCAGACAAGGTGATTTCTAGGGTCTTTTCAGACTAAAGTCACACAGTGGGACTTTTGTGGATTATTCTGCTGCTTTCCAGGGCCCCCCTGGCCTGGGAAGAGAATGTACCTCCCTTTACAGAAGGCCAATGGAGAAGGCAGTGAGAGGACGCCTGTGGCTTTCAGCCAATGAATTTGCAGCTTCTTCAGCCAGAGAATGCAAACAGGCCCTTTCTGCTATCAGATTCCTTTTCTGCTTTGGCTTCTCAGAACCCATGTAACATATACAAATGTCTTAAGTAAGAACCCGCATGAGCATAATACGGGACAAGAACGGAAAACCTAAAATGAATCAACCAACATAAAGAACAATGATGATTTTTTTCTCAAATGGTAAAATGGCACTGGGCAAAGGTATGGAGGCTGATACTGCCGAGGTTCAATTTCAAAGCCACTTATGAACCGGGTGTGGTGGAGCACATCTGCTATCCTGGCACTCTGGGAGGCTAAGGCAGGAGGATGGCAAGCTGGAGGGCAACCGGGAAAACTTAGCCAGACCCTACTTCAAAATAAAACATTAAAATGGGTGGGGGCTGGGGATCTCGCTCAATGTGAAGACCTGGGGTCAATCCCCAGTACAGAAAAAAAATAAAAAGCACCTTACAGTAAGGAGCTCACTGTGCATGCAAGTATAATAGCTCATTGTTGTTTTTCCTCAGACTTCTGTTATGCTCTCATTTCACATGGAAAGAGTTTGAACAAGACAGTCCAAATAATCCACTGCTGGCTAAATTCTGAGCAACAAGGTTCTTCTTGTGAAATCTGGACTAAGAGCAGATGCAGTTTCGGGTCAAACACCCGATCTGCACTCTCTGTACCAGGACCTGAGACTGCAAGGCGGCTCACCTGCATTTCCTTATCTACCTGCGGGATCTCGCTCAAAAACCTGAATTTACAACACAACGCAGCATTTTCTAAAGGAATGAAGGAGGGGGTGCATGGTATTGATCACTGACTTTGAAAGTGATTTTGTACCAAGGCCAAAAATATATTTGCCTGGGCATTAAGAAAATATTTCTTAACAGTACCTGCTCCAAGTGCTGGAAGGCAGTATGTGACGTTTTCTTAGAGTTAATTCCTACTTCCAAGGGAAGTAACATTCCACCGAGACCAGCCTCCTCTCTCAGTGAGGTGGGCAATATTGTTCCCATTCACTGGATGAGGAAATACAGCCCCAGGGAAGCTGAACAACTTGCCTGAGTATCAGTAAATGTGAACACAAAGATTTATGTCCAGGCCATTCTGACTCCTAAGTTCGTCCTCATACTATATAAATCAGGAAATTATTACAAGTCGGGCAATAATTTATTTAGCAGTTCTAAAAGCAGCAGCTAGGACGTGGCTTATAAAGGAAATATCCACAGTATGTGTGGTAAGGTATCCACAGCTTGGTGCAGCCCCCAGCTGATAATTCTCAAGGTGACCAAGTTGACCCCTGAATCAGAATCCCTTGTGCAAGTATTAAAAATGTACTTTTTTCTCTCACCCCAGTTAGAAACAGCTATTACCAAAAAGTCCGAACAATAACAAATGTTTGTGAGGATCTGGAGAAAGAGTAATTATCCTACACTGTTGGTGGGAATGTGAATTAGTACTACCACTATGGAAAACAATGTGGAGGCTCCTCAAAAAACTAGAAATAGAACTGCGATACGATCTAGCAATCCCACTACTGAGTCATTAGTATGTTGAGGAAACAACTGCACTTGCAGTAGTTATGCAGCAAGCAACTGCAGCACTGATCATAGAAGCCAAGAAATGGAACCAAACTAGGATACAGAAAATGTGGTACGTGTACACAATGGAATACAATTTAGCCATAAAAAAGAATTGAATTCTGTCATTTGCAGCAAAATGGAACAGGAGGACATTAAGTTAAGTGAAATAAGGCAGGAAAGGAAAGACAAATAGTACATGTTCTCAAATATATAGAGAGGCTAAAAAGTTAATTACAATAGAAACAGACAATAGAGTAGCAGTTACCGAGGTCTGGAAATGATGGATGTGAGGGTGGGTTGGAGAGAAGATAATGGATACAGGGGTACAGTTAGGTAGGAAAAATAACTTCCAATGTCCTATAGCATGGCAGGATAACAATGGTTCACAATAATTATTTCAACAGAGCTAGTAGGACTTGAGCATTACCAACACAAAGTAATGATGAATGTTTGAGGTGACAGATATGCCAGGTACCCAGACCTGATCAGCACGTACTGCATGAATGGATTGAAATGTCACACCACGTCCCATAAATATGCACAATTACTGTGTCAAGAAATAAATATTTTAAAATGGTTCTAAGCAGAGGAAACTCAGAGTAGCTACTCGTACATGGCTTGCTGGGTATGTTCACTAGCTTGACTGTAGTAGTAGTCACTTCACAACCTGTAAGTATGGGGAAACTGAAACAGAAAGAGTTCACATTCTTGCCCCAAGTAACCAGTGAGTTACTACGAGAAGTGCCTTTCATCCGCCAGTCTCCCCAGGTCTCCCCAACTCTTCCAGGGATTTATCTTGGAACTTGGGAAGACACAGATAAAGACTCCAAAGCTCACCAATTTTGTTGATCAAGGAAGAAGAGTACAGTGACAAAACAAGAGTGTGTGGCTGCACACTTTCTAAATAATGGAGATATGCAGAGGAAGAGCCAAGGGCGTGTTTGCTTGAAAAGATAAAGAGATTCTTCCACTACCTACGGTCCAGTTTGGAAAGATTTTGGCTACTCAGACAAAACTTCCTACTGTAAATCTAACTGAGAAGTTTTATATTTTCTTTTAATGTCCAACAGAAGCAGATCAGCCATATCTCTGAAACTCCAATGTAGCTGAGCATGGTGGTGCACACCTGTAATCCCAGAACTCGGGAGGCTGAGGCAGGAGGATTGCCATGAGTTTGAGACCAGCCTGGGCTATACAGTGAGCTCAAAGCCAGCTTGAACTACATAGTGAGACTGTCTCAAAAAGAGAGAGAGAAAGAGAAAGAGGGGAGAGAGGGGAGAGAGGGGAG